CAGCACGTAGAACTGTATAGCATGGATGACAAATAAGTAGTGTATTACTTAGAATGGCCGGATTTAACATACATAGAATAGTCAAAAATACTAGCTGAAGTCAGGGAACACAGAAAGGGATGCAGCGATGAGGAAAGCCAGGAGTCAGGATACCAGAATATAGGGAAGTCAATAAACAAAGCCAAAGTCAAAAACCAGGTAGAAAACTATAAACAGGAATGTGCTCTCGGACAACCACAAGGGAAAAAACCACGACAGGGCACTGAGCAGGATGAGAACTGGGCCTAAATACCCCTCCTCTAGATCTGATAGGCTGTAACCGGCCTTTGACCCCAAAGTCATTTACCAGGTTTCATTTGCATAATTGCTGCTCAGCATTAACCCTTCTGTGGATTAGGTTGCTGCTCGGCACAACTTTTCCTGTGTGGACAGTAAATATCATTAACCACATTTTTATAAGCGGATAAATACGTGACACCATCATAGTCGAGCTGTCGAGCAGTACATTTACTTTGTCGACTATGAGAAGGCATTTGACAGTGTGGATCGAGATGTCCCATGGAAGCTCCTCTGGCATAATGACAACCCAGCCAAGGTGGTCAACCTGATCAAGAGTTCATATGAGGGAATGACCTGCAGAGTGATCCATGGTGGACAGGCTACCAACAGCTTCCAGGATGCTTGTTATCCTCGTTCCTCTTCCTCATCGCCATCGACTGGATCATGAAGACATTCACCAGTGAATGCAGAAATGGAATCCAGTGGACCTTGTGGAGTCAACTGGATGACTTTGACTTTGCCTACTACCTTGCACTTCTCTCCCACAGCCAGCAGCAGATGCAAGACAAGATCAGTGTGTTGACAGCTACATCAGCACAGGTTGGACTCATCATCCACAAGGAGAAGACCAAGATCCTTAAGATCCTTAAGACCAACTTCAGTAACATCAACCCAATCACCTACCTGGGCAGCATAATTGACCAGCAAGGTGGAACAGATGCAGATGTCAAGGAAAGGATCAGCTCAAGAACATCTAGGCGTTTAGAGAGCTAACCTTGACCACCAAGATCCGACTGTTCAACTCAATGTGAAGTCAGAACTGCTGTACGGGCAGAAACCTGGAAGACAACCAAAAGCACTAACAGAAAAAATCCAGACATTCATCAACAGCTGTCTCAGAAGGATTCTTCACATTCGTTGGCCAGACACCATCAGTAACACCAACCTATGGGGAAGGAC